CCCCCCCCGCCCCGATGATAAACCACCTTGCTAATGTGAGACATGTTCAACTTGCTTTCAAGACTACAAGTATTGATTAAGGCGTTTTCTTATTATCGGATGACACTGATTCGCCATGATCTGCCAACAGTATGCGCAAAACTACTTTGATAGATGACGGCGTACTTACTTGAACAATTCCACTGAGGTGATAGCACATGACCACTTCAGGTACATTGCTCATCAACTGATCCAGCCAGTAGTCGATACCGGTTAAAACATTAATTGGTTTCTTCATGTCTCTGAGGAACAGAGATTTACGAAATGTGACCACAATAATGCGACACGATAGCTACCTGAGACGCAAAGTCACGCATGGGTGAGTGCCTCCGCCAAAGATCGGCATATCTGTGCCAACAAGCATGCGCATGTCTTCGAAATTCCATAGAATGTTGCGTTCGTAGTTATTCGTGAATTCTGCCTCATCCTTAAACAACTGCAGTTAAAATCCAAGTGGAACACGTTCATCTGAAACTGTGGCACTTCTGAGTATAGAGGATCCGGCGATGAGGACGATAGTACAGAATCCGTTCGAGTTGTATTCAAACAAACGTTTTCTTTGTCAGAGCCGTCTTCGTGCTTTTCATTCTGAACGCTGCACAGAAATAAATCACCTACATTCTAGGCGAAAGAGAGCATAATAAACGCACCTGTAATATAAAAACTTCGATAACATCAATTTTTCCTCGATGTCTTTCCTTGTGGAAGGCGCTTTAGCAAGCGAAAACGTATGCTATAAAAAAAATTTAAGTAAGTATACATATTAGAGACGCACTTACCTTGTACGCTTCAGAAACATTCAAAATGAACTGTCTAATCCACTTCCAGTCTTCCTGAAAAAGTTTGCATTTCAGGTGCGTAAATACAGGGGTACAAAGGTTAAAAAACGCTAATTTAAAATTAGCCTCAAATCGTTCGGCAAGCTGTTTAAATCGCTTGTTCAATAATTTAACTGTCAAAATTCCATATTCGTTTATGCGAGAGACTATAAATTGGATTCAGGATTTCGATGGACTGCTTTGCATATACATCATATCGAAACATTACCGAGAGTTTGAGTTATACTTATTTGGCTCATTTCTTCCATTCTATTAAGTATGTTGACCACGAGGTAAAGACAGCTAGAGACGTCAGATAAACTTTCAATAAAATATACATATAGTGCAGTATTATTTTAAAAATCACTCAGTAATTTGATGTATGACGTCAAAAATACGAGTAGATAACGGTTTTTTATCTGCAGTCAGGT